AGTTACATCTTGTGACTCGTGTCTGCGTGCTGCGCCAGCAACTGTCTGGCACTGCCACGCGCGGTGGACATGTGTTTTGTCCTTCTGGGCCTGGGCCTTGAGCAAGTCATGATTCTGGGCCTCCTTGGAGCCCGCATTAGGCCCACCACGCTCCACAACATGCTACGCGACGACACGAAAGCGCTTGCGAGCACGAGTTCGGGCCACGAGCGTAACGCACTCATCATATCCGCGGGCCGTGAGAGCGTCGATCTCAATGTAATCGAGCTTCTCGGCGCTGGCTCCAGCGGCGCCTCCGCCCCGCACAGACTTCCGGTCGCGCGCCCAGGCGCCTTTCGGCCCTCTGGGGCGCGCGGGCGGGCTGTGCCGTAGAACTAGCAAGTGCCACGCCAGCTGAAATTGCAGGCGAACTCACTTCCTTTGACACCGCAGGTGCACGTCTGAATATGCGACAGCCGGCCGCCACTACGAGCCCCTTTATTTGCCACGTGACGCCGAACACCTATTGGACCGATCCCGTTCGGGAAGCTGGCGGGCCAGCCCCTCGGCTGTGGCCGAACTGATAGGGAGCCCACAAAGGACGTACGCGCTCAGCTATGTATATGAACGCGGCCCCTCGATCCGAGAGAACGGCCGCGTTATACGAACATTTGCGCAATGCGTACTCTCGAAACCAGCGTGGATTCATGTACGTGTATGTCCTTTTGTCGCTCCTGAGCTGAAGCTCCCAGGGATCCGAGGTTTTTCCAATTTGAGCCCACATGGTTTGAGACTCAATGGCTCTGGACCCCCTCTTCCTCCACTTCCTCCTCCTCCTCGTCCGTCCTCCTCCTCTTCCTCCTCCTCCTCCTCCTCCTCCCCCTTCTCTTTCCCCTCCCCCTTTCCTTGAAGCGCCGCCATCGCCTGGTGCCTGTGGGCGTTCGCTGGCAGGCTGGCGAACGCAGAGACAGACCATATGTTTGATATGGGTTCCGCGGCCTTGCCAGCGACCCAGCCCGGGCCGAGGGGTCGCCCACAAAGGGTGCGTATGTGCCTCGACGTAGGACTGGACGCTCACAGAAAATCTTTTCCCCTGCCCTGGCCCGCGTCAGCGGGCAATGGGGCCGGCGGCGGCGGGGCGCGGGCAGGCGCGCCCCAGCGGTGCCAAACGTCACATGGTTTTCCGCCAGCTGCGCCCGCGGCGGCGGCGGGGCGCAGGTGTCGGCGGCGCCGCAGCCAGGTGCGCTGCCGCCCCTCGAGCTGCAAACGACTGTGCCTCGGGGGTGGGCACAGGGGCGCGTCAACGGCGGACGCCCCGTTGGCGCGATGGCGGCTGGGGCGCTGGGGCACATGCCAAGCCCGAACTGCTTTTCCGCAGGAAGCACGACTGCAACGTAACCACATCCCGAATCGCAAGGTCGCCAGGCAAGCCAGGAACACCGCACAAGCCGAAACACGCGAGGACCGAAGCGCGGCGGGTGGCGCGCGGGCGCCGCCGAGAGGGCGGGCCTGAGCGCGCCCACGGCGGGCGCCTCGTTGGCGCGGCTGCTGCCAAAGCCCCTCCGACACGGCAGGCGGTGCCAGCGTCAGCGGCTCACGCCGTACCCGGTCCAGGTGCGGCCGCGGCGTGGGCCTCCCGCGCCGAGTTCGCGGCGGCCGCCACCCCCGCCTCCATGCCGAGGCCCGCGCGCAATCCGGTGAGGATGGCCGCCAGCGAGAGCTCCGCCCATGCCGTGCCGCGCGCGAGCTCGCGGTCCGCGTTTCGGCCTGACGGCACCTCTCCAGGGGGCGGAGTCCGTCTCAGGACATGACCTCGCCGCAGCGTGCGCTTGTAGCTCGAGGGGCGGCCGTGTGCGTAGTGAGGCGGCCTGGGAGCGTAGCTGCGTTCACGCCCAGATGGCCAACCATGGAGCTGTTGTGGTGGTCGCCGCCTGGATTGCTGTGCCTTCGCCCCGCGGCGGGTAGGCGGCCGCCTCGCGGGCGCTCCATCCCAGCTCCACGTCTGCCAGCTGAGGGTACACTGCCTCCGTCAGGTATGTACGAATGCGCCGATTCCTGGCCGCCCAGGCTGGCTGGCGCGTGCGCCGCCTCGTGGAACCTGTGGAAGGGCCATGCCGCGTACTGCGAGATGCCGTATTCATTCAAGATGGCGCGCACCGACCACATCCACGAGGGGGCTGTCTGAACCGCGATGCGCGCGACCTGGCAGGGCTGGAACCCCGGCGTGGTAGACTCGATAACAGCCGCTAGTGCCGCCGTTGCTCGGAGGGTCTGAATGGATAGTCACTGCGGCAAGCCGAGCTCCCAGAGCAGGAGGACTCCTCGTCAACCCCCTCCTCCCCGACTCCTCGAGTTTCGAAAATCTATGTTTTGGAACGTTATTGGTCGTTTCTGTGCCTCTGGAGGCCTTCAGAGACCGCGCGACGCCTTCTGCGACCTTCTTTTCTGGTCAACGTGCTTGTCCCCTCAAGTTCCGACATGTCGGGAAGAACACGACTGGAGTTCCCGCCCGGATCCCAGGCCCAGGGACCCTCACGGATCGAGCCAGCTCGAGACATGCAGCAGAAAAGGTTCTGTCGAAGGCTCTGGCCATTCTTCTTCACGACATCGTTTTCCCCTTCCCCGTTGCCCCGCTCCCCCCAAAGAACATCGGATGTCTGGTTTGCCGGTCCGTCCTCGACGCACCCATGCCACATGCCACGCCCTTCCTTCCGCGACGGCCCTCCCTCCGCGCCGCCCGCGACATGCCCGACTCCTCGGCCGAACCGTCTCTCCCGCCAACTCCAGGGTCGCCACACTGGGGGGGTCGCCCCTCCCCCGGCCGAGGAACGGGAGGACCCCCCGCACGCTCCAGAGCCGCCCCGGGGCACCCCCGCCCGCGCACTCCAGAACCGCCCCAGGCGCCCAAGAGCCTCCCCGACCCTCAATCTCCGAGGAGGTGGCGACCCCCCCTCGTTGTGACCCCCCTCTCCCCTTCTGCGGCAACTCCTGGGGGCCTCCCATACCATCTCATTGGCTCTTGCGAGCCGACGCTGATCGACGCAACATCGACGCTTTCTCATCGATTACTTACCAGACGCTGATCGACGCCAGCGCGTTCTACAGGGACGGAATCGCGAGGGTACACAAGGCTCCCATGACTTGCTACCGAACTCCCCGGGCCCTGCCCGGCCGCTTGCCGGCTCAGCGCGCCCTGTTACCATCACGGGGCCCGCGCGCCGTCGAGGCAGCCGACGCCCACCAGGCTGTCCTGCACGGTTTCCCCCGGGCCCGTAGGCGACCCGAGGAGGAGGAGGAGGAGGAGGAGGAGGAGGAGGAGGAGGAGGAAGAGGAGGAGGAGTACGAGGAGGACGAGGAGGACGAGGAGGACGAGGAGGACGAGGAGGAGGAGGAGGAGGACGAGGGAGGGAGGGAGGGAGGAGGGAGGGAGGGGGAGGGAGGGAGGAGGAGGAGGAGGAGGAGGAGGAGGAGGAGGAGGAGGAGGAAGAGGAGAAGGAGGAGGAGGAGGAGGAGGAGGAGGAGAGGAGGAGGACGGGTCGCCTAAGCCCTTCGGAGAAACCCTCCAGGCTGTCCTTCGGGCGGGCGTGCCGGCGCCCCCGGTCGTAGTCGCTTCCGAAGCCGCCGGCGTCGTGCATGAGGTACACGCTGTCGTCGTGCTGGGCGGGGCGGTGGCCCGCCCGCGGGGGCCTCTCCTCGGAGGGGAAGCTGCACAAGGTTCTGTTTTGTGCTGCAGCGCGTCCCCCCCTCCACAGGGGGGGATTGGGCATCGCGAAATGAGAGGGCGGGCGACGAATGGGGGGGCAGCGAGGGCTGCAGAAAAGGCACCTTTAGGCCCCGAAAGGAGCCCTGTAGGAACCAAAAGGAAGCCTTTAGGGCCGAAGAGTGCGCCGTTCCACCACCCCCCACCCCCCGCAAAGTGAGGGGGCGACAAATGATTGGGGCAGCGAGGGCCGCAGAAAAGGGACCCTCTAGAGCCCGAAAGGGGCCCTGTAGGACGCAAAAGGGGGCCTTGAGGGCCGAAGAGTGGGCCTTCCTCCCCCCCCCATGTATCGCCCTTGGGCATCGCGATGTGAGGGGCGGGCGACACATGGGGGGGCAGCGAGGGCTGCAGAAAAGGGACCCTCTAGGGCCCCCAAAGGGGCCCTTTAGGACACCAAAGGGGGGCCTTTGGCCTTTAGGGCCGAAGAGTGCGCCTTTCTTTACCCCCACCCCCAAGTGTCATGCAGCGACGCCCAAAAGAAGGGGCTGTCGTCCAGCGATCGGGCATCGGGGGCCCGCCCAGCCCTGCCGACAGATGGCGAGGGAGGCGACCGCACGAGCACCGACTGTCGGAGGCCCGCGCGGGCTTCCTGGATCGGCGCTGCGCCGGAGCGCGGAGCTCGCCGGGGGCGGCGCCGGAGGGCGCCGCGAGGGAGGGGCCTCAGCGCAGCTCCTCGGACTCGGCGCGGACCTCCGAGAGCTGGGCTGCTTGTGCAGATTCACTGCTCTCCCTGGGCATCCTCTTGGGGTGGAGGGCTCAGGGTGAAATCCATACATATGGGCGTTTGCACCTCGAAAATTCATCCGTCTTGTGATTCATCTTTTGTAGATTCAAGCCTCGAAAACCCATCGAAACGGCATTTCAGATTTCACCCTGTGCCCTCCACCCAAAGAAAATGCTCGGTCTTCTTAGAAGCTCTCCTCTCGCGCCTCGCGCTGGTCCTGGCGGCCGGCCGCGCTGCCGGCCTGGCGCTCGGCCGCGGCGGCTGTCCTCAGGCCGAAGCGGCGCATTTCGCCCGCCGACATCCCCGCCAGCCTCTCGGCGAGCTGGCGGGCGCATGGCCCCTCTCGGTTGAAACTGCGGCCCCTCTCGTCCAAGGCGCTGATGCTCCACTGGCAGCCGTTCTTCTGCACCAGCACGTCCTCCCATCTCTGCTGGCTGGCGACGCACAGGTGGTAGAACACCGCCGACCCCAGATATCGGGGTCCCCAAGCCCCCCCGATATCGCCCCCCTCGGGCCCAAGATTGAAGATTTGAGAGTTGGAGGCTCCAAGCCAGCTCCAACACGCCCCAAAAGACCTCAAGGCGTCCCGAGTAGGCTGGGGGGCCCAAGACTCATCCAAGACCGCTCAAGACGCCCCAACAAAGCTCGAAGAGAGCCCCAATGATCCAGCCAAAATGCCGAAGTGATGAGCATTCAACCATGTCATGAAAGTTCAGCCAAGTCCAGTGTAAGTTTGGCACACTCGCCCTACCGGTCGCCATCTCGTCCAAGACGACCCTAGGGAGGCCCCCACTATCGCCCCAAGATCGCCCAAAAGGACTCCAAGAGGGGCCAGGGGGCGGCCCAGGACGGCCAAAGAGTGGCCCAGTATGCTGCTTCCACCGCGAAGCGGTGCGCATCAGTGCACCACTCCAGGACAGACTCCTTCATCTCCCCTGTCGTCGGCGGCGCCAGAGGCGTGTCCCTGGGGGAGAACGTCACGTTCGGGTCCCTCAGGGGCCTCCCAGCCCCGCGCTGGCGCCACCAGCCCTCGTCCCCGCGGCAATCTGCTCGCTGTGGGCTCGCAGGAGGTCCCTGAAGAACCCAGACATCCGAGGTCGTGCTCTTGTCGCGCCGGGGCTCCGCAGAGACCTAATTAGGACCTCTTCCCCGGGACCGGCTCTTCATCCCGAGCCGGTTCTTGGCAGCCCCGGGGCCCAGGGCCCGCAGGAGGCCGCAGCTTGCCGAAAACCATCCGTCGTGTTTTTTCTTCACGACGCGAGGATGTCAGGAGAGCCGCCAAGAAACGTTCACGTCCACAACGCCAAGGGTCCTGCCGCGGGCCCACCGCTCCTCGAGATCCCACGGCACGACGCCGACGCGGTGGACACGTGTTTTTCTGGCGGTGGACCTGACGCGGCCCATGGAGAGGGCCCAGGTTGCTCTCGCTGTAGCCCGCAACCGCCGCCTTCATACCTGGCCAGGCTGGAGGCAGAGGACAAGGATGTGAAGGGACAGGAGAGGAAGGGGGGGCGGGGGAGTAGGACGAAGGAGGGGGCAGGGTGACGCAGCAGGATGGGGGAGGAGGAAGAAGAGAAGGGATGGAGAAGGAGAGACCCAGCTACGCGCGAGGAGATGGACGGCCAAGTGCAGCGGAGGAGAAAAAGCCCGCCCAAGAACGAGAGAAGTCCGCTGTCCCTCACTGAGGAAGCGCATTACGCCAGCGTGTTTGATGGTTCACGCATTCTCATGTCTGGAACAGTGCAACGAAGCGTCGCGATGTCTGATGTCTGGAGGCGGCATCGGCCAAAGCTCGGGATTCGGGAGACCCCGGCCCCTAAGCAGAGCGTGGCAGGCACAAGCGGGAGGGATGGGGACAAGATGAAGGAGACAATGCACTCGAGCACATGGCGCGTGTCGCCATGGGGGGCCTCTGGACGATGAAGGAGAAGAGGCGTAGAGGGAGGATGATGAGAGAGGACTCAAGTAAATCAAATACGCATCAACGATGCTGCAACACATCCTCCCGTACCAGATTCCCTCCCCACTAATCCCTACAAGCATTCTGATTCACTGCGAGAAACGATCCCCTTGAAAGAAGAATGCCCCATGTACCCCAAATGCAGGCGGGAACTGCCGCTTGAAAGACATCCTTCGAGCTAATCAGGAATGCGACAACTTGGATCCGTTATGATCATGGAAGTGCCCATCGACACACCCGCTTTGAAAAGGAGCCGCCCTCTTTTCGTGTAACTGCGGCACAATGTTGCACTTGTGGAAATATGCATTGAGGCAGTCTTGAGCGAAAACCCCATTTTGCAGTTGAGCCACTCTCCATCAGTTCACTTGCTGGAATTATTCAAGACAAGCGTGCGCGGCGCCAAGGCGAGGAGTCACATTTTGAAGGCGGTTCGCCCTCCACCGTTGTAGCCGATCGGAATTCCAAGCTTCAGGATTGTCAAAGGCAAAGAAGTCTCAGGCGTAACGCCCGGCCAGCCCGAACGACACGCCTGGTGGCGAAACAGGGAATACTCATTTGCAAGGAGAAGGATTGAGGAGGAAGTGAAGTAAGGATGGAGGAGGCGGCATGGGTGACGAAAACCGCTCCTGCTCTCATCCTCACCTCCCTTCGCATGAGGGTGGATGGTAATGGGAAAACCAGGTCCTGGATCCCAGGGTGTTCTCCCAGGACCGGTCCTGGGACATGGGATGGGGCTTGGCGAACTGAGCATGTAACAAAAACCATCGAGACCGCTCTCCGTCTGGATATCATATCTTCACGCCCTCTCCTTTTCCATGCCCAAGCAGCGCCAGAGGATAACCACTAAGGGGGTCGGCATCGCCTCCTTAGGGGGAAAGGGGAGGATGATCCGCATCAAACCTCAAAGCCACCAACAACAAAAAACAGGGGTGGGGGAGGGGGGAGGGAACAAGTCACAACAACTCCTTGGTCCTCGAACCCCCCTCCTCAACCCTGGATTTGAGAAGGTAACGACTCCCAGCGAGGAGCTGGTTCTGTACCCAATGAGGCCTTTGCCAAGAAATGGTGCTCGCCAGCTGGACTTAGTGAGGCGGCCCTCGACCTTTCTCGGCTCCCCGGTCTTGCTTCTTGCCTTCCTTCCCCGGGCTTCTCGGGCGGGTGGCCATGGGAAGTGGCCTACACGGGTGTGAAGCAAAGGGCCCCTTGCGTGACCTTTTCTTCGCCCCCCATCTACGTCCCCCCCCCATTACGCAGAGCACCGACCTTGTAGACGTGCTGCAGCGGACTTTTGCATGGATTTCTTTCAATGCAGGGCCCCGACATGGCGAGCGAAAAACGATGTGAATTTCGCGCGGATTGTTTGTAGTCTTCATTCCTGGCCAAAATAGATCCGCACGAGATTCACTTCGAAATCCGGAACGAAACTCTCCAGGACGATCCGGGCCCATCCCAGTGTTTTCGGAACGAAATCCGCTCTGCGATGTTGGCGCAATGAGAAAAGGGCCCCTTGAATGACCTCTTCTTCGCCCCCCATCGACGTCACCCCCCTTACTACCCACCCGAGTTTCCCAGTCGTGTTTCTCTCCTCCTGGAGCCCCCCAGTTCTGGCCTTCCTCGGTGTTCCCCCGGTCTTGCTCCTCGCCTTTGTTGCCACGCCACGGGAGGGCAGTGGCAAGCCAGACGAAGCAGTGCCAACCGAAGCCACGCAACGCCGCGCAATGCCAGGTTGTGCCAAGCGATGCCGAGCAATGGCCAGTAACGCCAAGCGGTACCAAGCAATGCCGAGCAATGCCAATCAGTGCCAAAAAGTGCCAGGCAATGCCAAAGCATGAAATACCAAGCAACGCCAAGCAACGACTCCAAGCAGCAATTTCAGACGTCGAACCCAAACAACGCCAACGTAAAGCAATGTCAAGCAATACCAAGCAATGCAAAACAATACCAAACAATGTTTTGCGCTGCATTGTTTCGCATTGCCCAACACTGATTGGAACTGATTTTGAAGAAAGACGAACCCTATCCAGGGCCGCACCGGTTTGACGAGTAATTCGCACTGACGCCCGTTACCAGGGCCACACCCCATCCCCCAGGTAGTATTACAAGCAGAGCGGCGGTCTTTTCTAGCTTTCAAATGTTCGCTCCTGCACGGGCCAAGACGGACGAACAACGGCACCCCAGAAAGTGGACGCCAGGCACGCGGCACTGTGATAGTCGACAACGATCGACAATGCATGGAGCACATAAACGACACCGGCAGGTGGGCCACGGGCCGAACCTAGACCCGAGGACGTGATACAAGCGACGAACGAAGCTTGCAAACGTACGTCCTGCAAGTGGGGTGAGACACCGGCACGCCCCCAGCACTCCCTTGACATCGTCACGATTCGCGCCGGCGCCGTCCGGGAATGGCACGAGGCAGCTACAACTTTCCAGACAAAGGCAACACAAGTCGTGACGTCACGTACCAGCATCCCTCCTCCCCCGCACCAGCCCACAATCCTAGCACAGGGACTCGTGCTCACGGGCCTGGGATCGCGGGATCGTCCACACTTGATAATGCTATATATATATATATATATATATATATATATATATATATTGTTGAAGCGGGGTGCCGCCAAATCCCGACGTAAAACACTGGTTCTCAACATCCCGCGCCGTTCCGAAGAGATCCCGCGCAAGCTCAGGCCCCGCATCGCGTCGCCGCGAAGCTTTCGGAGCGCCGATGAGGGAGCACCGTCGACCCTCTCAGCATCATCGTTGCCATCTGCCATCCCCAGTGTTGTTCTATTGCCTTGGACTCCCAAATCAGAGAACCTTCATTGTTGCATCGGGCGTCCTCGCGGAGATCAGTTTCCGTACCATGTGCGTTGTGTTCCTGGAGGGGCTCGGCAAGATCTTCCAATGCTCTGCGCTGACAAGGACGCGCGCGATCGCCACGTGCATTGCCACATCCGTATCCATTAAGGCTCTGACGGATGTTCGTTCGGGAAGAGATATGCTGCAACCGACAAACACGCCAACCTGAGCCAATTGCAACGGAATCCAACTTCCCTATACTTTCGAATTCCCGACGGAGGGAACCAATCGAAAGCGGAAACCTGCCACTTTCTGATTCAAACTGGGGAGCATTCAGTTTTCGATGTTCTGTGCGCTTGCTCATGAAAGCATTATGCTTCAGTCGTGCGGCGGAGATGGCTGCCATCGAGAAGACCCATTCTGTCAAATTATACGACCCGCGTGGGGTTTTAAACTTACACAACTGGATAAGGAAAACGGATGTAGTGGTGATCACCCTTAGCTTGGCATGAAGGAATCAATTACGTGGAACCTGGCCCTGGGGACATCCGCAAAGACCACCTTGTGATCCTGAATCGTGTTCTCAGGATCTCCGGAACTGGAGAGGGCCCCGAAGCCGAAAACGGCGGAAAAACTTCCGGACCCCTTTCCCTTAGGACCCCGTTCCTTCATGGCGATTGGCACTGCCCGACCTGCCGGGGGGGGGGGGCACCTGGCTCAGCGGGGGCCAGAGCCCGGGGCGCGTCCCGCGCCGGCGCGTGCGACTGGGCCACGCCGCCCTGAGGACAGACCGGGGTTGCCGCCGTCGCATTCTTCGTCGTCGTCGTCGGAGAGGGGGGCTGAGAAGGAGAGGCGATGGGGAGGGGGGGAGGATAAGGAGGGGAGAAGAGTAAACCCTGGAGGCATCGACGATGCAGCAAGACACCCTCCAGTCCCAGATCCCCTCCTCATGCGTCCCTACATGTATTCCTTGCCGCTGGGGCCAGTGGCAGCAGACGGCGGGCAGGGAGAGCGCTGCGTGGCGAGGGGCGCGGAGAGGACGAGGCGGAGGAGGCGAGGCGGAAGACGACATTCCCAACCCGCCAGCGGAGGGGGGGACGACAAGTGCCTATTCTTAGTTTCAGCGTCAAGGTGGCCCCGTTCTGGGCCTGGGACTTGCAAGATTCCCATTCGTGTGCAATATCTCGGTGCCGGGTCTTTGGGGGCAGAATGTGGCCACCTTGCCCCCCAACAGGCTCGTCAATGCCCAATCTTCATACTCGGCGGCGAGACACTGATAACCGCACGTCGGGTCGAAGAAGTGGTACGTCCAAATTCAGTGCGGATACTCGAAACTGTGATCATCTGCGTATCCAGAATCGCTGATACTTTTCTCCATGGCGTTCGCAACTCTTGATCCTTTTGCGTCGGTGAATACTTAAGGAGATGCTGGCAGATATACTATGTTGAAGAGCTGCTGCACTACTTCGCAATAGGCATTATCGAAAATATCATTGTCATCTGGATCCGCATGTGGCGTCTCATCGCAGCCGACGTCGTGCGGATGGAACCAAGCATGGTCTGACTAAGGGTTCTCATCAAACGGGTACTTATCGAAGAACTTGTCCATCACAAACATCACCATGGTTGCATATGCTCGACAAGACTTACCCAGACTCTTGGATTGTTCGGCCTTCCAGTGCCCTGTCTATCAATCCACTGCGCGTACTGGTTAGCGACCCCCAGAGAGGGACTGTCGCCCCACTTTTTCTTGCATACGCTTGTGAACAAAACCATCCGTTGTCCGACACGTCAATGCGCTTGGCCATGTTTTCTGTCAGTGCCCTTTCATTCTAAGAACAGGCTGAAAGACGTGGCGTCGATATCCACAACCTTGATACCCTAAAAACTGGTTGCCCTCAATGCGGCCTCTTCTCCAGTTGCTTGTACAAGTCGCTCCATCAGAGGCACTTGGGTCTGGTCGCAGAAGCTGCGGCACACAGGCTTCACTCAATCCCACGAACCATCTGCAAGACACGTTCGCGTCGAAGCAGTGAATGGAGCACAAGTCTCTGGATCCACGATGGAGCAGCGCTGACACGCAGCATCCGTTTTCAATACCACTTGGCACCTCGTTCCAGGACTTTGAAGACGCGCCTTGCCAGGGCAAGACTACTTGAGGCAATTCTGCCTTGGGACATCGCAACCAACTGGCGCCTCACAATGACCACTGCGTGAGCAAGTGGCGCAGCATTTCTCCGCCCCCCGCGAGCCTTCGCAAAAACCGCGTATCTCCGTGCGGGTTTGGCAACCCTTGGAATTGAAATCCTGGCATGCTTTCGCGAAGGCCGTGAGAATCAGGAGGAACCGCGAGATGCGTCGCATGGTGATCAAACACAACTACTTCAATGGGCAATGCAACCGCCACAATGCAAACACAAACCCTTGACAACCACTTCTGGCAATACGGCGGCCCTGCGCTACCGAGCCAAAGTGCATACAAGTATGCTGAAGATGACGATAGAGCCGAGCAGGACAGGGGAGATAAGGAAGAGAAGTAGAAGAACGAATGCAGCAAGTAGAATGCACATGAGATTATGCTGAACCTGCTCGGCGGGGTTTACGAGGCGTTTGAAACGTTTGACGGTCCCCTCCCTTCTTCCCCCTTCCCTCGGGGGCAAATCGCCTGATTGTGGGTGGCTCGAGCTCGTCAACGAACCTCGTGAATCCTGACAGCCCCGAATATGGGCTACGACGGCCCCAGTGTGCCCCTATGTGGCCAAAAGTGGCCTCTCAGACCTTCCAAAATTGGCCCGAAGATATTACCAAGATGGCCCTGGCGCTTCCCAGGACCCCCCCCCTGGAGTCTTCAAATTACCGATGGCAGAACGAGTATTGCCTGTTTGTCGTTTTTGGGCTGATCGCTGTGGCTGCCTCCAATGAGCCTCACAAGCTTCAAGTGTTCCGCCCTCAGGGGGGCCCCCAGGAGAGGCCGATCAAGGCCCCCAAGGGGATCTCGGTATGGCCTCAAGTGGCTTCAAGAATACGGCCGGACCTAGGACATAAAAACATCCTTAAAGAACCTGAAACCTTCCGCCAGCCGAAGCATACAGAACATCCAAGTGTACCCTCCCCAGGATGCACAAGAACATCAAAGAAACACGAAAAACATCAGGGTACCCTCCCCGAACCGACCTCGATCTTATACCTCGGTCCGACCGTACCTTCAGAGAGACCGACAGGAAAGCTCCGCAAGAGCACAGCGAGCAGCCCAGGAGGGAGAAGCAGCAGAGAGTCCAGGGCGGTTCAGGCCCACGAGCGCCTCATGGATCTTGTCGAACACGGCCCGAAAGGGAGCAACGCCTGCCCACAAGTGTTCTGGCAAACGCATGTCGAAGCTTTGGGAAAGGCTGGTTCAGAGATGCGCGGGTTAATTCGGTCAGGTGGCAAGAGCATCGTGGAAACCTCCCTCCTCCTCCTCCTCCTCCACTTTGCCTTCCCCGGGGTATTGAATCGCCATGGGGGTGCTGTTGCGTTTTCAGCATGCCGCTTGTGCTCGGCAACTGCCAGAACACACCGACTGCGAGCAACGCAGGGCAACTGGGATCACCACGCCGAGAAAAACGAACACACGTCTCAAATTATACAGACAGCCAGTGCTACAAACCGCATGCGCCAATATACACTGTGTATATTCGTCGCAGCTCCATTAGATCTAAAGGATAAACGCGCACGAGTAGACGAAGCCAGCACCGCGGCAAACCAACGGCAGACCTTGAGTCTGAAGTGGAGTTTCGCCCTGGTGGTCGAGACATTCTCCCGAAGACGTGAGGCCGCGCGTCGGAACAAACGGCGCGGCAACAGATACCTACACAGGTATACATCGATTCTTGGATGCAAGTGCGCACATACGACAAGCACATATGAACACGGCGAACATGGTTTGGAGATGGGATTGGCACTCGCTGGGCCGCGGCAAGCCCATCCCATTGCTGAGGGCAGAAAACACTGCTCTGGGCCGCGTGAAGTCCTCTGGGTTCCTCTGGAAGCCATCTTGGGCCCGCTTGGGACTCTCTGAGGGCCGCCCTGGCAGATCCGGGGAGCTTCGGCAAGCCGCGGAGAGCTCGACATGACTCAGACGAACCAGCAAAGTCCCGTCGCGACCCCCATCTAGGGGAACGAAGAATTTCGTAAACATAAAAAGGTCGGAGGGCCGCGCGGATTTCTCGGATCTTCGCTGGGCCCCCCTGGCGGCGCCTGCGGCGCCGCCCCTGGCGCGCTCCGCGCGCCAGAGAGGGGGGTCCAGCGCGGATCCAAGAAGTCCGCGCGGACCTTCGAATTTTTCCCCAAACAGCTTTCTAAACGGGGTGCTGTTGCAGTAAAAGATAACTCCGGCCGAGGGAATTCAAAGCAGAGACGTCCTCAAACAAATTTGGTGGCCCGGGCCGTTTCGCCTGAGACATCCTCGCAACTCTCGTTTCTGAGTTGTCCAGGAATGGGCGTTTCGCGTGAGACATCCTCTTAACTCTGAGTTCCCAGATGCCGCGCAAGAGGTGGTCCGGCCCGTTTCGCCTGAGATATCCTCGAAACTCTGAGCTTCAAAATGCCGCGCGAGCCCGTTTCGCCTGAGACGTCCTCCAAACTCTGAGCTCCTAGATGCCACGCGAGAGGTGGTCCGGCCCGTTTCGCCTGCGACATCCTCCAAACTCTGAGCTCTGAGATGCCGTGCGCGAGGTGGTCCAGCCCGTATCGCCTGAGACATCCTCCAAAGTCTGAGCTCTGAGATGCCGTGCGCGTTCGCCTGAGACATCCTCCAAACTCTGAGCTATGAGATACCGCGCAAGAGGTGGTCCGGCCCGTATCGCCTGAGACATCCTCCAAACTCTGAGCCCTGATGCCGTGCGCGAGGTGGTCTGGCCCGTTTCGCCTGAGACATCCTTGCAATTCTGCGCTCTCTGATGACGCGCGAGAGGTGGTCCGGCCCGTTTCGCTTGAGAAATCCTTCAAACTCTGAGCCCCGAGATGCCGCCCAAGAGGTGGTCCGGCCCGTTGACATCCTCGCACTTTTGCATTCCGAGATGCCGCGCGAGAGGTGGTCCAGCCCGTTTCGTCAGAGACGTCCTCGCAACTCTGAGCGCTGAGATGCCGCGCGCGAGATGTGGTCTGGCCAGTTTCGCGTGAGACGTCCTCGAAACTCTGAGCTCTGAGCTGCCGCGCAAGAGGTGGTCCAGCCCGTTTCGCCTGAGACATCCTCGCAACTCTGAGCTCTGAGATGCCCTGCGCGAGGTGGTCCAGCCCGTCTCGCGTGAGACATCCTCGAAACTCTGAGCGCTGAGATGCCGCGCAAGAGGTGGTCCAGCTCGTTTCGCCTGAGACATCCTCGCAACTCTGAGCGCTGCGATGCCGTGCGCGAGGTGGTCCGGCCCGTATCGCCTGAGGCATCCTCGCAACTCTGAGCTCTGAGATGCCCTGCGCGAGGTGGTCCAGCCCGTCTCGCGTGAGATATCCTCGCAACTCTGAGCGCTGAGATGCCGCGCAAGAGGTGGTCCGGCCCGTTTCGCACAAGACATTCTCGCAACTCTGAGCTCCCAGATTCCATGCAAGAGGTGGTCCAGCCTGGGGGCCTAGAAGACCACATGTTACATATCCCCCCTGGGACCCTGGGAGCCCCAGGAGGACCCAGAGAGCTTCAGGAGGCCGCAGGACGCCCAGGACAGGCCCCAGGGGTCACCAGGAGATTCCCAGGAGGCTCCCTTGAGGCCCCTTATCAGAACGTGTCAAGTTAATCTACATCTGGTG